TTTCCTGTCTCACGTTCAGGTCCTTTATCCATTTTGAGTTGATTTTTGTGCATGGTGTGAGAAAATGATCTAGTTTCATTCTTCTGCATGTTGCTGTCCAGTTCTCCCAACACCATCTGTTAAAAAGGCTGTCTTTTTTCCATTGGATATTCTTTCCTGCTTTGTCAAAGATCAGTTGGCTGTATACTTTTGGGTCCACTTCTGAGTTCTCAATTCTGTTCCATTGGTCTATGTGTCTGTTTTTGTGCCAATACCATACTGTCTTGAGGATGACAGCTTTGTAGTAGAGGCTGAAGTCTGGGATGGTGATACCTCCCGTTTTGGTTTTATTTTTCAGTATTACTTTGGCTATTCGGGGTCTTTTGTGGTTCCATACAAATTTTTGGATAGTTTGTTCTAGTTTTGAGAAGTATGCTGGTGCAATTTTGATTGGAATTGCATTGAATGTGTAGAGTGCTTTAGGTAGTAATGACATCTTAACTATATTTATTCTTCCTATCCATGAGCATGGAATGTTTTTCCATTTCTTTGTGTCTTCTTCAATTTCCTTCATAAGTTTTCTATAGTTTTCATCATACAGATCTCTTGTATCCTTGGTTAGGTTTATTCCGAGGTATTTTATGGTTTTTTGTGCAATTGTGAATGGGATCAGTTTCTTGATTTCTCTTTCTGTTGCTTCATTATTGGTGTATAAAAATGCAACCGATTTCTGTACGTTGATTTTGTACCCTGCAACTTGGCTGAATTCTTGGATCAGTTCTAGTAGGCTTCTGGTGGAGTCTGTCGGGTTTTCTATGTAGAGTATCATGTCATCTGCGAAGAGTGAAAGTTTGACTTCCTCTTTGCCAATTCTGATGCCTTTGATTTCCTTTTGTTGTCTGATGGCTGATGCTAGGACTTCCAGCACTATGTTAAACAACAGTGGTGAGAGTGGACATCCCTGTCGTGTTCCTGATCTCAGGGGGAAAGCTCTCAGTTTTTCCCCGTTGAGGATGATGTTAGCTGAAGGCTTCTCATAGATGGCTTTGATGATGTTTAAGTAGGTTCCTTCTATCCCAACTTTCTCGAGAGTCTTTATTAAGAAGGGATGCTGTATTTTGTCAAATGCTTTTTCTGCATCTATTGACAGGATCATATGGTTTTTATCTTTTCTTTTGTTGATGTGATGTATCACATTGATTGATTTGCGAATGTTGAACCAGCCCTGTAACCCAGGAATGAATCCCACTTGATCTTGGTGGATAATTCTTTTTATGTGTTGTTGAATTCGATTTGCAAGTATCTTGTTGAGAATTTTTGCATCCGTATTCATCAAGGATATTGGCCTGTAGTTCTCTTTTTTTGTTGGGTCTCTGTCTGGCTTGGGAATCAGAGTGATGCTGGCTTCATAAAATGAGTCTGGGAGTTTCCCTTCACTTTCTATTTTTTGGAATAGCTTGAGAAGAATGGGTATTAATTCTGTTTTAAACGTCTGGTAGAATTCCCTAGGGAAGCCATCTGGTCATGGGCTCTTATTTGCTGGGAGATTTTTGATCACTGATTTGATTTCCTCACTAGTTATGGGTCTGTTCAGATTTCCTACCTCTTCCCATGTGAATTTTGGTAGTGGATGTGCGTTTAGGAATTTGTCCATTTCTTCTAAGTTGTCCAATTTGTTGGCATATAGTTTTTCATAGTATCCCTGATAATTGCCTGTATTTCTGAGGGGTTGGTTGTAATAATTCCATTTTCATTCATGATTTTGTCTATTTGGGTGCTCTCTCTTTTCTTTTTGAGAAGCTTTTGTAGAGGTTTGTCAATTTTGTTTATTTTTTTCAAAAAACCAACTCTTGGTCTCATTGATCTGTTCAATTATTTCTTTGGTCTCTATGTTGTTTATTTCTGCTCTGATTTTTACTATTTCTTTTCTTCTACTGGGTTGAGGGCGTTCTTGTTTCTCTGCCTCTAGTTCCTTTAGGCGAGCTGTTAGATTTTTGACTTGTGCTTTTTCTAGTTTCTTGAAATAGGCCTGGAGTGCAATGTACTTTCCTCTTAGGACTGCCTTTGCCGCATCCCATAGATTTTGGATTGTTGTGTTTTCATTTTCGTTAGTTTCCATATATTTTTTAATTTCATCCCTAATTGCCTGATTGGCCCATTCATTCTTTAATAGGGTGTTCTTTAACCTCCATGTTTTTGGGGGTTTTCCAGGCTTCTTCCTATGATTGATTTCAAGTTTCAAAGCATTATCATCTGAGAGTGTGCATGGTATGATCTCTATTCTTTTATATTTATTAAGGGCTGCTTTATGTCCCAGTATGTGATCTATCTTGAAGAATGTGCCATGAGCACTTGAGAAGAAAGTGAATTCCTTGGCCTCAGGATGTAGAGTTCTAAATATATCTGTCAGATCCATCTGGTCCAAAGTGTCTTTCAAGTCCATTATTTCTTTAGTGATTTTCTGTCTAGTTGACCTATCCATTGCTGTAAGTGGAGTATTGAAGTCCCCTGCTATTAGCACATTCTTATCTATGAGCTTGTTTCTCTTTGTGATTAATTGTTTTATATATTTAGGAGCTCCCATATTCGGTGCATAAACATTTTTGATAGTTAGTTCTTCCTGATGGATAGACCCTGTAACTATTACGTAATGCCCTTCTTCATCTCTTGTTATTGTCTTTAATTTAAAGTCCAGTTTGTCTGATATAAGTATAGCTACTCTGGCTTTCTTTTGATTTCCAGTAGCATGATATATATTTCTCCATCCCCTTACTTTTAATCTGAAGGTATCTTCAGGTTTAAAATGAGTTTCTTGTAGACAGCATATAGATGGATTTTGTTTTTTTACCCATTCTACTACCCTATGTCTTTTGATTGGAACATTCAGCCCATTTACATTCAGTGTTATTATTGAGATATGTGGGTTTAGAGTCTTTGTGTCCTTTGTGGAGTTCATGCTTGTGGTGGTGTCTCTGGTATCTTTGTTTCTTGCAACCTTTCCTTC